GTATTCCCGAACAGAAATGTCACAGCGACGGCGGAGGCGGTGGCACGGTCAGATATCCTTTAGCGGGCGCCCTGCACACGAGTCACTTTGATCACACTGTCAACGGTCCTGTTTCCTTTCAACCACCACCGTGTTTTCACTATCACTATCTCCCTCCCACTCCTGTTGCCAGCGAATTGAAAACACGCGAGACGAACACACCGGGTAGTAAGCCACTGCTGCGGCCGACACGATCGTGACCGAAGCGGACCGAACGCGAAACGAGCGGTCGTTCGAGTGGACTGAACGAGAACGAGAGTAATACACACACGACGGACCGTTGGACCAGTACGAGGATTGATTTGCGATCGCTGGAACAACCACAGTAAGGGTGTGAACACTGGTGTTCGAGGCGATATTCCGTCACGAAGGGGACGTGAACAGGTTCGCGTCGGCTTCGGATCCTCGTGTAACAACCGTGCGCGTGTGTACCTTTACTCTTATTTTCGCGAATGATCGCGTGGGTTGTTTGAATCGCGGTCCCGTTCCGTGGCTGCTCGCTCGTCCGTTGGCGGGCTTCGAATGACGAGCTGCGATCGCTCCCCACGCAACGCTCTCCGGCTCTCTCGCTCTTTCTCCTTCGTACCAGGCGCGCACGCTCTCTCTCGTTCTCGCGTTCGCGAACCGTCTCCGTCTCCCTTCCGTCCATTGATTCTCTCCCTTCCGCACACGAAGCTTTCGCTGGCTGGCGCACGCTCTACCGTCTCTGTCCCTGTCGAACCGACACAGCCAGGGCAAGAGGGACAAGGATAGGGGGCCCGCTGGTTCTAGGGTAGATCGAGTACCCGCGTTTGTGCAACGAGGACGGAACGGGACATGCGCAAGCGCCAAGAACTTACATACTTACTGGTGCTATCTGCGAGGCGGTAAAAGCACCCACCCTGCGAGCGCGCAACTTCCGCACGGAGAAGGAAGAACCGAGGAGTCCCTGCAGCACCCTTGCCTCGTAAGATACATGGGGGTTGGTGCGCGCGACACAGCCTAGCGCACCGAAATACACATACACACACACACAAATTCTTCGTCTACGAGCCTATCCTGCTTGCCTTGCGCGCGAGAGCACAACATTTTTAACACCGATGAGGCGGCTCAGCCGGCCATCTCATTAAGAGAGTCGTGAGGGGCGCGCGCGCACAAGAGGGGGTGTGTTTTGCGACCCTGCGCGCGATGCGTTTCGCGAACGGCGCAATTAAAAGTCACGCTTTCGTCGCTATTTAAAACTGTTGTGCACGCGATACGCGCGAGACGCCCGGTTTTGAGTAAACTGTTTAAAAAGCGTACGAGTCTTCGAGAACACGTGTGTACAGAGTCGAGTGCACCTGTATTTGTCTGGGAGTTTGAAGAGGCCAACTCCTGGAGTTACGTTGTTTGTAAACAAAATATCATTTCAGTCTTTCGTAGGAAGTGAACGTGTTGTTTGCCAATATTGAAATGTTTTTGCCTTTGGTTAATATTGCTGATTAATTGGTTATTGTTGAAATTTTAAGTAAATAACGACATTCAATTTCAATTTATTTTAATTCATTCGATGTAAAATATAAGAGAGAATATAGAAATACGAGTAAAGAAATAATAATGTTAATAATACGCGATCCAGACTGTAAATCTAACGAGACGGTATACAGTTCACTGAAACTCGGTACGGGTAACTTCTCTGGTGTTAGCTATTAAAGTCCTTTTATCTAAAAACTCTTTTAAAAGTGTACTACCAAAAACGACGACACCGCAGTCCGCAAGAACCTAGCTCGCTTTAGCGAGTGGACGAAGATCGTATCTCTCGTCTGTTTATCGACTTCACTGGGTAGTTACGCGTGCTTCCGATGCAATTTTCCAGTAACAAGGAGGATGTCGATAGAAAAGAAAATTGGTTCGTCTTGTTTTCTTAGAAGTGAACCGTGATATATTTGTTGGTGTACATTCAGCGTATACCTTATACCAGTTCTTAGTACTTTCTTGCCACTGAAATTTTGTAAATTCTTAATGAATATTAAAATTCATTTTTCGACTGAGACATAATTTATTTAAAAATCCTGATACAACCAACAGAAAGGTGATTCCTCGTGAAAAAAAAAATCAAACCCGTAGAAACAAATTTTTTTTTAAACACCTTGTTTTCATGAAAATGAAGTTTTAAAGTTTATCCGACGCACATGCATTTATGGTTATAATAAGTAGAAACAGCAAGTAATGCACAGATACATTAGTGAAATTCTATTCAATAGCACGCACGCTCGACGAATATTCAAATTCGCTTTCAAACAATTTCGTATAGTATTAATTCTATTGTATATTATACATACGCCGTATAATTTTAAAATATTGATTTATTCATGAAAAATATCAGATTGAATATCACGCATAATCATAGAGGCGTTCATTCTATTAACACATTGTTGATTGAAACACAAACAACGATAAAATGTTTAAGTAATCGTTTATGTACATTGCGATACAATTGTTGCGTTTCTAACATTGATAATAGAAAACAAGAACTATATTTAAATAAATGTATTAATATTTATGGATTGTACATTTCATCTGTATTAGAGCCCGAACATTTCGTTGACAAACTGTAAATGCTTGAAGACGATTAATTTATTAAAAAGTAATTGTTACATTACACTACTCATTTCCTTAATTAAAGATTTAACCACCGGAAATCGTTCGGATGAAGTGTGGGATGGCTGGTATAGAAATGCTCTATCATCTCGTTTCTATTTATGAATGGCATATGTTTTATGTATGAATAGTAACCCAAATTCATTCGTATTGCTTTATCTTCCTGGGTCTGTATTTTCAACGACCTCGTTTTAGATCATTATATTCGCAACAGGGATATTAAATTAAAGTCACGAATTAAATTATGCTTCGCCGTTTCAATATCCTTTCATTAATTGAAACTTTATAGTTCATTTCGACGACTATACACGATATAAAAGTTCACGGTGAATCTCCTGAAGAATTTTTAAAGGTTTCACACAGTAAAAAGAAATCGTGGCTTCGACGTCAGTGAGTAAATTGCGTGGGTAAATTACGATCGATACGTGAGAGGACCGACGTGTCGGCGATCCTCATTTTTCCCCGCCGCTCTAAATAATGAAAGTCAACCCGGTCTTCGCGAATACCAGGATAGACGAGGAATCGTTGCGTGCTGCCTTGTTCCTGTCGTATTCGTTTTCGTTCGTACAGACTATCTTCGAAAGACAGACCGTCTTCGTCCGTGTATTGAACTTTCTTACTGCGATTAAATATTTAACGCCTGGATCGATACCTGTTCCCATACATCCACTCGGTCTGCGACACACGAGCTCTCTGGCTGCTCTATGCGAGACTCTTCTACTGACCAGTCAGGGAAATTACCAGCGGGGACCCTCTGCTTTCCTCGTAGGCAAACACCGTTCGCGAACGTCACTCTCAATCCACTTCATCGTCCCCTCCTGATGCGACTAAAAACATTTTCCCTGTGCTACGAAACAGCGAAACCCCGTTTATCCTTGCGAAAATATTTGAGACACCCCTGAGATCATCCCGTGGATTCACTTTACCCGAACCGAAATATATAAATATATAGATCGTTCTTAAAGTGATTTATCGTATTCCTCGTAATAACTTACGAACCGAAATTACACGGTAGGTATAACCGCACTTTTGTATAAGAAATGGCGAAAAAAAGAGAAAACAACCTAATACTTATGAAGATCGTCGTTATTCATTATTACCAAAAAACATGGCAAGGAGGTTCGTATCTTATACAACAAACTACCGACGCGGCCACGCCCTTGGCCATTGGCTTGATTGGGCAGTACCCTTCATTTGCCAACCTCATTATCTTCGTAATTAAACTTCAGTATTAATCTTCCTTACCAAGAATATGTGCGAACCGTCTTGAAGATAATATTCAAATTATCGTTGTACATACGGGCGACTTCATTATTTATTAATTATACGTTCGAAAAACCCAAAGGTGCACTAAGTGTATTAACTTTTTTATAGTTTCTTGAAAAAGTATAAATGGAACGGTTCTTTTGCCCCTCCTCCACCAGACGGTTCACCTTAAATCAATACTAGAAGGAGCGTAAATGTCAGTATTTATTGACATCAACCCCAATAGCGATTGACGATGATTGCCTTCACCTGTAGTCCATCTACCTGTCCCAAACGCCTACCGCTTTAGATCCTTTTACCTTTACAACGTCTTGTAGGATGTGTCACGACCATTTTATGAATGCGGTGTGTTATAATTTATCATCGAGAATGACGTTGTGCCGGTGGTACAGAAGGGACATTTTTGTTGTTGTGGGTATATCTGACCTATCAGTACAAGTATATTAAACTTCATGCGATGTTATATTGACTTGTAATACTTTCAGGAAAAAAATTCTGTTAATGCACGTACATACTCATTCAGAATATTTATTATCCTATATGTGTAAACAATTAAATCTGTAATAGGTTGTTATTATGGTAGTGAACACTGCCTGCAAAAATGTGTACGTGCGTACATACAAACGTAGAATGGAATAAAAAGATTTCGGAGACGGTAGTTTCATAGTCGAGTGGTACTTTTGCTCCCGGAGTACATAGAGCTCTCAAACTGGTTGCCCTAGTTTCAGCTGAATGTTTAATTCTAAAAAATAGTACTGCTCGGTTCTTGCCTTTCTTTATAAATCCGTATTCGTGTCTCGAGTACATGAGCAGAACACTTTTCCACTAAATAAATAAGTTTAATAAACCACCCAACGAACACAAAAATATTAACCACATATATATATATACAACGCAGTAGCGTATTCAACATAAAATTGAATTGAAGAATATAATATTAATAATGTGCGTTTCAATTCTATTGTATATTGTACATCATTCGAAACATGCGGTGAATTCCTCGGATTTTCTTTTTTAGACAATAGCTCTGTCGTTGTTTCACGTCATCGTTAATTAGATTATTGTTAACAGTACGCGTGAATACATTACCTACCATTGTTTCTCTTGAGCAATAACAACTGTATGGGCTTCATAATAATTATCAAATTTTTATTTCGTTTCACACATGCGAGTCATAAATTAAACATTATGCAAATAAATTAACCAAAGTGTGAACATTACGACTAACCGATAACCACGATTGAACATCATGGGTAAATACTTTTGACAAACCGAGAATAAGAAATTGATACGATGACAAGATCCGCGTCAGTTTGGTGGTTTTACTATCGTGCGTACACCTCAACAACAAAGTTGATTCCATGACCCCTCTGGCTCTTGAACCTGAGCGACACGTTGGAGTGTCCTGGACCACCCGCGGTCAAACTGGCGTGTGCACCGTTGCCGTTGGTCTTCTGATCGAGAGCTTGAACTAATGTGATCTGCTCGTTTCCTGATACGTAGAAGGTTTTCTCTTCAACGACCACTTGCATCCAGGAAGACTTCTTGATGATGTTTTGCCTCAGCACAAGCCTGTCACCAGGTACTCGGTATCCAACGGCCAGGTGATTAGATTGGTTATTCGCGGCTTTGTAGTCAGCCGAGGAGTTCACTTCGGCAGTTATCGCAATAATGAATGTTACTATCAAGAAAACTGCCACTTTTTGAGCCGACATGGTGAACTTTTTTTGTATATTCCGTACAAATTCTGAATTTACACTTGGTTCGTTTGTCGAGTTATGATACTCCACCTGCTGCTCTGTGACTTATATATTCGTCGCAAACGTCTTATCAGTACTCTTATCGTGACACGTTTGTGAAGGTTTACTGACATGTTCTGGAAAGATTTATTCTAGGAATATGTGTTTGTAGATGATGTTTCCACCTTGAATAATATCTCGATACCATCGACCGATTATCAGTCATGATAAATAAATTGTTTACAACAAGGTACTGCAATTTACTTTTCAGGGAATAAGTGTAAGTATCTGATTTAAATGCTTTCGTTCATGGCATGAAAATTTCCACTAACCAGTGTGCACACGTTTGAAGAAAATTCCTGAATAAGAAACTTTAGGTTCTTGCCTTTCTTTATACTATAAATCCGTATTCGTGTCTCGAGTACTTGAGCAGAACACTTCTCCACTAAGTAATTCCATTGTACATTGTACATCATTCGGAACATGTCGTTTTCAATTTTATTCGTTTAAATTATTTTCGTAAAAGGCTTTTTGTACACTATCAAGAACAAACTAATGAAGTTGTATGTATGCTGGACTTGTTTAATATCTACATGTATCGCAAGACTGTATAATTTGACTTGTTATAACGTCTCTTTCAAACCCAATGTATTAAAACGTAACGCGATACACCTACCCTTTGAGAAATCCAACCAAAAGATATTACCCAATCGTGTTTCTAATATGCATAAACGTGGATTACTTGGTCAGAGTGTAGTTCGTACTGGTTAACGAGGTGACCGCATATGATAACAGACTCTACCTAGACATAATATTCGATGATACTTGACAACTTGTATCTCAAAAACCATTGTTATGAATCACTTGAAAACTTTCAACTGAATATTCAATGACAGAACATCTGTGTAAAACCCTAACTGAAGAATACGTATACTCGTATTTATATTTCAAATTATCGTTCGGATCACTCACGATGCAAGATTAATGACAGGATACGGTTATCGAGTAACGTACATTGCAGTTAAGAGTTTTTACCACGAAGTTCTTTTAAATCGATGTATACAACTCATCAGAACTGCACTCTCAGCTCTCGTATGGATGAACCTTTAACTTCATCAGGTTTTACAGTAGGTTTGTTCGAGTCGCATCGGGGCATCAAACAGAAAACGCAAGTCAGTTGGCCAATCCATTAAAACCATTTCATTGGAGATTTGCTGCGTAATGTCTATAACCACTGCCTGACTTGCATTACATCGGTAATATTTCAGGTAGCATACGCCAAACAGTTGTTCGTTTCTTTTTCGACATTTATTCCCCATCGGGCATCACCTCCGGAGAAAAAGTTGCTCGTCGCCTCATCCCTTTCGTATTTTAATTCAATCTAAGCAGCGAGCGAAAAGAGGAGAACGGAAGTCATTCTCCCCTTCTTTTACCAGCGTTCCCGTCCCGTTAATATCCCGTGTTCACGGGAATTTCGGTAATCGGAGGAACTCGTCGTGTTTTTTGACAAGCGGCGTGTCTAAAATGCGGGAATCGTAACTACGGCTTTCCGTTTAAAATTGCCCGATAATAGCCGTTGCGGTTTTGAATTGACGACCAGCTCTTTTGTGGCTGCGCCAGGGAATACGCTCGTGCAAACACGCTTTCATTCGTTCGTACGTTCGTTCGTTCGTTCGTTCTCGCCCGATCCTGTCATCGCATTGTCTGCTCGGACGTTGTTTCGAGCGCTGGGTTTGCTCGTGTGTCTCGCAATTTTACAAGCAATAATGAAACAGCGCGCGGGACAGGTTTATAACCTCGCGCGGTAGTCCTCAGACTTTCGCGGTACAGCCAACCGAGAACAGTGGTCAAGTGTTACTGTTGCCGTAGGAGCGACATGGATACTCGATTTACTTACGAAAACTGAATACACGAAAAATAGTTTCATTCAAGTTTCGTTCAACGTTACATTCACTTTACATTATCCACTTACGTTCCGTTATCCAAACATAATTTAGTATTTTATAGGTGTGGTATATTCGACAATTTGACGTTATATAATAGACTTACATATGGTCGTTAAGAGTAACAGAGATGTCTTATCTTCAGTACGTACCTAAGTTCTGAATTTATCGAGATTCAAAGGGAAATCCAATGACCCGTATTTAACGTGACATAAGTACCTAGCTACGCTCGTGTGCACCGAGAAGTTGTACGGTCTGCCAACTGATTGTCGATCGATATGAACGCAAAAAGATCAAGGGAACCTAGAATAGAACTGTAATGTCGTGAAAGCACTTATAGGAACGTCTATACACTAGGCGTCAAAGTTGTACAGACTTCCTTATGAACACTGCTATTTTTGTTCGTTCATCGATGAAATAATAGACGATACTATTAGTTCCAGAAAGAAGAATATCCCGTAATTCCATTGTACTTTTTCACTGTCTGAATATATTGTCGTCAGCACCGAATTCTGTTTGTGATAACTAACTTCCACACTATGCACTATCGATCGCTTCGGGTCTAAATTACAACAAACCCACAGTGTATTATATTTTAACAATATTAACTTATTCCAAAAGACTCGCTCTGTTCGTGGATTAGCAGTATGCGAAATGAGACGATGTAATAGATTGCCCGCAGTGGACTACGCAAACAACAAAATACACATTTCTGGCTCAAGCTTGCCAGTAGAATACCTTCTTCCTAATAGCCAGAGCAACATCGAGATGAAATTTCACCAGGCTAATGTTTAAGCTGATTAACAAGGTTCGTAGCTATTTATGAAGCAGATGTCCCGCTGACCCTTAGATGCCTAGCGCCATTAAAGAACAATCCGTAAAGAAGAAAACTGTATTTCCCTCCGGAGCGAGGGCGCGTTTTGAGACGGGGTCGGGAGCTGCAGACAAACTAGGCACTCGAGAGCCCCGTGGCGCTAGTGGAACGGGGATAGAATAAGTAGGTTAACGAAATGGTCGTTCGCAAGCTTGAGATACCACCACCAATTTCAGTGGCCCTCAACTCGATTCGAAGTTTCGCCTCGCCGGTAGGATCTCCCCATAGTAGAATGCACCGCGAAGCGACAACAATTTTCCAGTCGGTTGTTCCTCTCCGTGCCGCCACGCATGCATGCACAAAATGTACTTTGTACGTAAGCCTCGGAAACGGAAGATCTCAACCTCTTAGGAGCGTCTACGAGCCACGCCGGGATTCCGCCTCACAAGAGCGGGGGGAAGGGAAAACGGAAATGAACGAAAGGAAGAATTATCTAGGACTGCTGGAGGAGGAAAGGGATCCGCTTGATTAGCGCGTACAAGAAAGACATTCCACTAGTGAATTACTGGGATTTTTTTTAGACAACAGCCCTGTCGTCATTTCACGTCATCGTTAATTAGATTATTGTTAACAGCACCCGTGAATACATAACCTACCCTTGTTTCCTTGGATCGTACTTTCTTTATAAGTAATCAGGTATAGAGCAATAACAACTGTATGGGCTTCATAATAATTATCAAACTTTTATTTCGTTTCACACATGCGAGTCATAAATTAAACATTATGAAAATGAATTGACCAAAGTGTGATCATTCCGACTAACCAATAACCACAATTGAACATCATGTGTAAATTCCTTTGACAAACTGAAAATAGTAAATTGATACGATGGCAGGATCCGCGTCAGTTAGGTGGTTTTACTATCGTGCGTATAGCTCAACAACAAAGTTGATTCCATGACCCCTCTGGCTCTTGAACCTGATCGAAACGTTGGTGTTTCCTGGACCACCCGCGGTCAAACTGGCGTATGCACCGTTGCCGTTGGTCTTCTGATCGAGAGCTTTAACTAATGTGATCCGCTCGTATCTTGTAGTGTTGAAGGTTTTCTCTTCAATGACCACTTGCATCCAGGAAGACGTCTTAATGACGTTTTGCCTTAGCACAAGCCTGTCACCAGGTAGTCGGGTTCCAACGGACAGGTGATGAGATAGGTTGCCGCTGTTATTCGCGGCTTTGTAGTAAGCCGAGGAGTTCACTTCGGTAGTTATCACAGCAATGAATGCTATCGCCAAGAAAACTGCCACCTTTTGCGCCGACATGGTGAATTTTTTTTGTATATTCCGTACAAATTCTGAATTTACACTTGGTTTACTTCTCGAGTTATAATACTGCACCTGCTGTTCTGTGACTTATATAGTCGTCGCGAACGTCTTATCAATTCTCTTATCGTGATACGTTTGTAAAGGTCTACTGACTTGTTCTGGAAAGATTTATTCTAGGAATATGTACTTGTAGATGATGTTTCCACCTTGAGTGATTACTCGATACCATCGATCGATTATCATTCATGATAAAGAAATTGTTTTCAACAAGATACTGCAATTTACTTTTCATGGAATAAGTGTAAGTATCTGATTTAAGTGCTTTCATTCACGGCATGAAAATCTCTACTATCTAGTGTGCACATGTTTAAAGAAAATTTCTGAATAAAAAGATGAGTAATGCTTCTGTCTGTCATTGTTATCCTTTCACATGTAAATGGAAGTTCTGACTCATTTCCAGAAACGTAATTAAACACACATATGTTCGCTATCGTACGCAAACAGATTTATCACCATAGTATTTCTGTAGGTTAAGGCATATCGTGGATATACATATTTCTCAGTTACTATTGGGTAGTTCTTTCATCGAAAGCTTAACAAATTTTATTATTGAATGAATTTTGAATATAACAATGACTTTCCAGATATAAACAATAACATAATCGTTATAATCAGCGATAAACCGTGTGTAAGGTGTTTGGCCCCAATCTCGTAATAGACTACGATCTCTATAATTCATGAGCGACCCAACTCTATCTAATACTGCATCCTGCTGTGTGTACTCTGTTCGTCGCACGCACACGCATATATATATATATATATATATATATACACACACACACACACACACCCGCAGATTCTATGCACTTTCAATAGGTTACGTCCGCAAACTCCTGATACGAAGCCTTTGAAAACTTCTAGGTAACGTGCGACCGAGTAATTTATCTTATATACATCTAAATTACTGCGAAAGTAACACAAGTAGCTAATTATGTTTGAGAAATATAACCGTGAGCTCATTTAAAGACTTCACGATAAAAGGTATGTTTACTTATTCTTTAAAAAGATGTTTACTTTCATTAAAATTTTGTACATACAAACTCAGTGGATCTGGTTTCCAAATTAATATTTACATATCGATTGACGTTATCTGTACTCAGTTGTTGCGATCCAAATCGCTATTCTATTTGCTTCCTTTTGGTCGTAACATAACTGATCCCAAGGTTCCGTACTTAACGCCTTATATTACGAGCTATCCTGATTGCATGAAATGAAACTACTTCGTCAAAGTCGTTGTAGATTGTTTGTTCAGATGCTTGTTAACCGTACGAACATCCAACATGTTACCTAGTGTATGCATTTAGTTCCCGCATTCACCTGGACTATTAAGTGAATTCCTAAATACGCGGTGATAAATTATCGGTCGTAACAACCACAAACTGCTGTCGTAGCGTTTACGCTACGTAAAATTTACAATATAATCATACCAACCTCAGGAGTTTTTATCACATAATTTTTTAATTTTTCTTTTAATACATAAGGTAACAGTATTAATCTAATGCAATGCATGTTTCCTTATGCTGAATAGTTTAGTCATTTCATCAATTACATTAGTGGATGTGTTTCCTTAGAAGTCTGTACATCATCAGATTTCTAAATACAGGCGTGCATATTGTACGAGCACTACCATGAAAGTCTTACATCCGTATGCTACTACCAACGCGTCGTGCATTCACGCATACAGGGAACAAACACTCAGGCAACGCGTGTGACTTTACCGATCAAGGCACGACCTGCAGGATGCGAATACGTTCGCATTATTCATTCGTTGGACGAACCCCCTAGCTATGAGACTACTCAATCTCGAGCACCTGTCTCAAGCATGCCGGACAGAAGATATCGGAAGCATGATGCTTTTACCATTAATTATCTGCTTGTGTAGTTCGGAAATCCGAGGCCAGGACTCGATTTCAACCATCTTAACGAGCTATCCACCGGATTCTATACGGTAATGTCGAGCCAAGGGTGAATCCGCTTTCCTAGACGCTCGAATTATCTGCCTATAGACGTAAACCCCATGGATTATAACAAAATTACCGTGGATCATTTGACAATACTCAGTGCTACGTCAAATAATTAATACGATTTAGTAATATTCAATTGGATTATAATAAGAAACAATAATCCAGATGCCGTTCGAGTCTTCGATAAAACGAAATAGCAAGAAATTTCGGTTGAACAACATTAATTATATATTGATTCCCGGCTAGACTAGCGGAAAAATCGCAAGGGGTATGAGGGCAAAGAAGGGACGAGGGAGTAATGAGCGTTGAGGTCACCCGTTAGGACAATTAGGGGAACAGAAAAGTTCCATTGCAGTTTTGTAGCTTCCTGACCGCCCCTATAAAAGTCGGAAATGACAGCTACTAGTTTTTTCCATTACTCGGAGCCATCCACATCTTCTCGGAAATTAACATACTATACTAAACTTGTGCCGGCGCAAGAAATTTCTGTCGAAACGTCCGAAAAAGTAACTGGTGAAACGGTTATTTTTATCGACTATCCTCACAGAATTGATATAACGGATACTTACGTACAAAGTGTTTAATGCATTAAAAAAGATAGCAGCCAGAAGGCTGCGTCCGTTCCTCGAAAGATATCACATGCAAGATTAGTTTAATCTGACATCGATTTCTGAACAATCGAACCATATAACGAAATAGTAGATCAAATTCTTGGATTTCTATCAAGCTTTATGAACGATTATTCGCGGAAACGATTCTTGAAAATTATTGGTGTACGCTGCTAATTAAGCAAGCACAGTTGCCTGGAAATATGTTTACCTCAAATCGAAACAGCATCTCATGAATATCTTGTGTTTATCGACGACACAGCACGAAGAGAACCTCCACCGCGTTGAGCAGCGATAGTTTTGGTTTATGGAGTTCCGATCGTCCCTGCAGAATTGAATATAACAGTACCACCCGTGCATTAGAACACTCACGATAATGTTAAATAATTACACACATCACCCGTAATCCAGACATTCTAAACATTCGATCGACTCGCCCGTATTATTACGTTCGGTCGTTATAATTTATCGGGTTTCAGTTGTGTCATTAGTTCCCATATTAACATTAAGGTTTCTTCCCGTGTCCTCCTTTTAAGATCATACGTATTCATGTACAGCTCAAGGAAAATAGGACAATAACAAAATATTCGAGTAATGGTTATTTTAACCAGAGATAACCCAGTCACGTTTTTTCCCTATTGATGACGACACTTCGGAGCCCACCCTATGCTCGCCGCGATAAAAGCGAAGAATGATGGTACGCCACGAAAAGAGCCCGTAGAATCAAAATTCTCGATCGGTTGGTAGCCCGCGAACGCGCTGCCGCAAGTTCCCAGGCTTAATCCTCAGAAAGCTCAGGCTCGCAACGACGCCGATGCGCTTTCAGGAGGGGCGACGTGTGCGGCCGTAAAGTCGTCGAACGACGTCGCCCGGTGGCCCTTTCCCTGCGCGGGTAATCCTCGTCGATTGGCGCGGTGCAATAATTCGTCTGGTATCGGCCTCTACGGGGTGCACCGGGAGGGGTGTTAAACGACCGATATTTTCGTTTTTTTTGTTCTCTCCGCGAGAAACGCCAGTCTCGATTTGTTGCATACCTCACTTGTCGTGCATCGTATCTCGGCAGCCATCGTACAACCGTCGCTGCGCCGCCCCGAACACAGTCTCTTTATGCGCACCGGCACCTTTATGCATCGTTAAAAACATGCAGCCGCGCCGCAGCAGTAGTAAAACAGGCAGTAAATCGATGTATCGTTTTGCGACGACGATGCCCAGACACGGTAAGGGGGCTTTGAAACAGGAATACGAAAAGCAAGAAAAAAAGCCGGTCAAATCAAACGATCAATGAATCTTGCGAGATAAAGATTTTCGAAAATTAGTAGATCGAACGTAATTAACGTCCATCTGTCGTTCATATTTTAAAACGATACATCAAAAAGATGATACAAATGATTCGTTTATTATACGACGTTACGTTCACTGCAATTAATACGGCAAACAAAACTTTTCACTCGGTTAGAAGAACATTGACGTAACGAAGGAAAAGATTCTCTCTGCAAGGACAGCTAGACACCAACAACCCAATTAAGATCCTGCCCGTCGCTAATCCTCCTACGAAATTATCGTCGTCCATTCTTCCGGAAGACATAGCAGAGACGGGCAAGAAACGGGGAGACAAACACGGAATAGCCATGAACGGGGGCGGGTCGGAAGGTACTGCGAGGTAGCGTAAACAATTCCCAGCACAATTAGGAAACGTTTGTCCGTCTGTGTTTATCGAAGGATCCGTAACTAGCTTAGGTAACACCTATCCATTTGCTACCAGACAACCGAGGCTTCCGATCGTTCATGCGAACAATCCAGGGACGCGTTATTGTTATCCCGCGAAAAGAAACATTCTCGTGAGATCCGGATAGATGAACCATTTCACTGTCGATGTTTGATCACCCCCCACCCCCCTCCTAACCCCCCTCGACGTTGCTTTTACTCGAGTATCATTAACAATCTATTATCAACCGACGCGTTATCGTTGCGAAAAAAAATACATCACACGATGAGTCAGCCTTATCTCTGATCTGTTTCCTGGTGCAAGAAATTTCACGTATCCGTGAACGTTAACCGGACACGGAGCTAATAGAGTCAACATATGGGCGAGGAGCGTTGGGTTTGATGGATTAACAGCATATACACGTCCTTCAACGTGAACAGAAATTGGATTTGGATCACTTGCGGCTAAACGGTCCGTTGTAGGTACGAAAACCGGGATATTTCACCGTTCTCCGTGATCGGCGAAGAACAGAATCATCTGTTCCGAACAGGCTGCTCAGCAGATTATATGATTACAAGTTATGTCAGCGAAAATGAAGTTATTGGTGCACAGAGCACAGAAGCATACGCCATGGAAGAACATGCCCTGACGTACGCTAATGTGATATTGAATAACCGTTACCGTGTCGGTGCGAACCGATGCGAGCCTCCGAAGGCGTTCACGCACACATTCGAGTCCATCGTTCCTCGAAAACTCCATTAATGTACGAAAAATGATAATGTACGAAAACGATATCCTTCAGATAATCCGACACGCCTTGTTGATTATAGATATCAATACATACGAGAAACATCAAGATATTGTTCGCGATCAAATCTGGATAATTCCATTAATAATTCAGTGTACATTGTTATCGTACATTAAATCCGACGTGTTTAAAATACGTATACGTAATATAATATTGACGATAAAAGTGCATCGATACGAGCCGTAAATGAACTTCACAAACGTAATATTCTTTATCGTGATTATTGAATTTAACTCGGATTTGCACACAAATGGAGATATTACAACGATAAACAAGAAGAATTGATTTAAAACCACGCTTTTATGCAATTTTTGTCCATGCTTTGCTTATTTGCTTTTCATGAAGATTTGTATCCCCCGGTGTGAAAGATAAATTGCGATGTTAATTTGACTACGAACTGTTTTTTTCCCCCTGAAAAGGAACCAACTCTCCTTCAACCTCGCGACTAACACGAGTTTCGCATGTAGCGGAACCGTAACTCTTTTAACGTTTCATGGGAAATATCTGTCGTTATATTAATTTCTTCCCTTGTCGCAAACACACATTTCTTCCCAGTTCTTTTTGTGTCGCGGTATAAATGAGAATAGTTTTCAAAGAGCCAGGCGGTAGTTTATTTCCGTGGCATTGTACAAAGGGTGTGCTCGTTTCCAATAGATGTACGTGAATACATGAGGGTCGACATGCGGGTAATCGTTCCTACGTTTTCGTTTCCCTGTAGATACAAATTTTTGAGAAAATCCTCGCTGTCCGCCTGACTCGCTTTATAATCTGCAGACGTTGTAACGGACCACCATTATGTCCGGAGGAAAAAAAAATAGTTAATGGCAGCAAAAAATTTGCGAACCAAGTGAGACAGGAAGGAACTATGGAGGAAGAAATCTACTCTTTACTTTCTTTCCACTGTACGGGTTTCCACATTGACAATTTCTTTGTAATTGATGATGTTTAATCTTTGATTACTCAGTTCCTCCTGTAATTATATAACTGTCTTAAGATATACAATACAATCATCACAAGTAATTTTCCGTAATCAATTGATAATCATTACGTTGTCCAGACTTTTTTTACGATAACAGTGGTACTGTAATTAATACATGTTGCGACGTAATTTCACGATTATACCGAAGCTTGATATGAGAATATAATTTTTTGTACTGGGTGTTTGTTAACAAATACCAAGTTGTTAATGTATACATTGAAGAAGGATAGCTTAGGATTTCCCTGAAATATGGATAACGTAAATGTACGAGGAGACTCGAACAGAGGACTGGTCACATAATCCCTCGGTAGCAAACTTGTCGCATTATCCGTTGCATCACGTTCGGCAACTAAGCGTGAGTTTACAGCTAAGGGACATTAGGTACGAGGACACTAACAAGTAAGATAGTTGACAACAGGCACGAGCCACCTGAGGAACGAAAGAGGACAAGTTGACTTGATATATCTACTGAGAAATGTATAAGATAAATTAGGCACTACAAACGCTTCTAATAATTATAGATAATTACAAAGTACAATCGACAAGAGTGTAACTTTTTATCAAATGAATAAGTAAGCTGAAAATGTACGGTAAAATTTTATCGTACAAGGCTGTTTTCGAGAGAAACAGGTGAAAATTTCCATTTCTGCTTACTGCATGCTGGAATGCATGTGTATCATGTACATTTGTAAACACAATTTGTCCGAAAATAAATCTTTATACGAAAAAATTTTATTCTAAACTTTCGACTTGCTTTTCCATCAAAAATCCAATGGTAGAATTGTACAAATGATTGCAATGAAAATAGTTACCTCCATTTCACTCCTGTTGAAATTAGGCTATTGCTTGAGTCACATGATTGATATACAAACAGGACCGTCGACAAATGTTTTACTATCGTTTAATTCATACTTTTACTTTCAAATTACATCCGACTACTACTTCCACATTGTAGCAATGAGAGGCAGATACATCATGTCCTATCAGAGGAAGCCATCAATGGCGTAACCGGGAAGCCGTCCAAAGTTCTCTAACGATGATGTATCGAGGTAGTACGAGACCCCTAACTTGTGGCCATTCCGATACACCGTAAGTTACTAGTTCTTTCTGACTTTCTCCTTCGTTCTCTTTTATCCTTTCTTTCGCCACCCTTACGGGTAGAAGCATTACGTCTCCTGGTATCCTTAAAGATGCCATCGATGATGACCGTGGCAGATAATCTGTTATAACTCGCCGGCTTGAGAAACGTATCTGCTGTCTAACATTTGGTAAAAAAGTAACGTGTGCCGTTACTTTGATCTAAACGTGGACGTGAATTATTTCAGTCGAATTGTGCAACACCATCAATTTTCGTTTGTTAATGTAGGTATCTACGTATACAGGCGATCTAGTCTGTATACTACTCCTCAATGTGACTACTTACGAAAAAATTGAATATTTATTTAGTACTATTACACATGCAATTGAAAATACATACTTTTTCGTTGATTTCAGTTAGAAGAAAGTTTTGGACTTCATAATTGGCTCGTTCCTAAGTTTAATGGTAATATGACTTTAGTCTTGAATCATTAGATAAGCTGAGTCTAAATGATATATGTATTCAGTGAGATGGGAATTTGGATAGCTTAAGAAAAGGGGCTTGGAAACTTATTGTTTTAAACTGCGGTAACTTTTTAAAAGCGTACGTTGGCGGGTTCAACAAGAAACTGTCATTGTAGTTTTAGTTACCAAAGTCAGCAAGCGACGAAAATCACTTCGTGACACCTTTGTATTCTTTTATATTTTCGCTCACAGTTCTGAACAACGTTATAATTATTATCGTTACTATTATCGTCTTTATTACGTGTCAGTGAAATATACGTATACACATAATAAGCAAAATGGAAATAAAGAAAAATAAAATAATGAGTGCGTAAAAGTTCATAGGCTGTTTGAACCTAATCTCGGATTTACTAACATATATGTATATAGTGGCATTACTGCATTACTTTCCTAGAACTTCCTGAGATGTTTTTTATATTGGTAATGTAGAAATCTACGTCTCTACATCTTTCTAAATCATTTATGTATTTCATAAGAAAAAGTAGTTTAGAGATATAAGTTATTAAGTAATTAAACAACAATATGTGACAATATTTACAAAAACGATGTGTTTAAACACAAAAGAAATCAGAAAATTGTTGCACGCAAATTAAAAGTAATTACTTTAAGCTAACTTTCTATATTTTATACCTTGCAAATGTTTTATAAACTGTATAAACATTAATATTTAATATTATGACCTATAAATGTGCCGAATTTGTAAGTACACATTACATTTAATTTGAAGTTGGCGCGAAATAGAACTTTGAAATAAATACTGCGCGTGCGCAGAACGAGTAGTTTGAAAGCAAACTGAAATGCTGCATAACGGTTTGAACGTGCGGGTGCGAATTCCAAATAATTACAAAACTAATATAAAGTATGTTTTATTTACCGTGAGTAATTTACGTAATCTGTTAATTATGTAATGTGTGTAGTGTGAAGTGTGAGTGATTAAAACCATGTGTGCAATCCTGTTAACCATCATACTCAGGTAAGAAACACTTATCCCAATACATTTAAGAAATACATATCAGCTTCCATAACTAATATTAAATCAAGTTAGGAATCTGATACGAGATTGAAACCATTTAAATAAATGCAATGAAAGACGAGAGAAAACATACATTTCTTCATTCATTGCTAAAAATAAAGCAATGCATCTTTTATTTACAATGTTTTTATTTTAAGATCTTAAGTGGATCAATCACTTAAGGATAGTTATACACATTGATTCTGTTTAATTACTTTAAGAAAAAAATAAATACAAGATTATCAGAAAAGATTATTTGCTTCTATATGTGCTTGCAATAAGATTATTTCCATACAAATTGATTTACTACAATTTGTTTTACTCTTATTCATGATGCATGTACAATGATACATATGTATTATAAAAACAATTAGACTATATTTCTACTTTGGATGCTGTATAATATTATAATTAAGTTACATGGTATTCAACACTCTAAAATTGGAATGTTCCGTTAAATAATTATGGCATGTTTTCTAATTTCGTTTTTCGGAAGTGGCAGTATACAATAAATTATCACTTCAAAACAAAAAAATGTTGGAAAGTATAATATATAAAACTGTAATACACATATAAATATTACTAATTAAAAGCAGTGTAAAAGCAATTATGTTTTTTGTGTTTGATTGCTACACAAATTTGGGAATATTCTTGGTCAACTGTAACTTTCCTATTAAAATGCAAATTAATCAATTTTCATAGATTTGATCATATATTACACAAAATGATTAACTGATATGTGCAATGAATCCATAGAATATCTTAATATTCTTGTTCAACTGTAGCTTTCCTATTAAAATGTAAATTAACGTAGCTTTCACAAGTTTGAGAAAATATTATACAGAATTATTGACTGATATGTGCAATGAATCCATAGAATATCTTCTTTCTTGATGTGTAGTTTTCATCCATTGCTTATGCTCACACAAATAAGGGTATAGTGGTACTACTAGAACACTGATATCATCAACTGATGCCATTGGTAGAAACTTTTCATCTGTTTCTTCAGGATTTTCTGATTTACCTACCCAAACTCGACCAATTAATCTACCTCTTGCTGCTTGTACCAATTCTTGAGCACCCATTGTAAGCCTATAAAGAAAACATTCTTGTAATCTCTTTATCTTTAAAATAAATACTCCAAGTCCTAATAATAGATACCTGTATTCCAATGATGGTGCATCAGGAGCAAGAGTCTTTCTGAGTATATTAGCTGCTGTTTTATCTGATACAACATCCCAAAGTCCATCTGTGGCTACAATAATACAGTCACGTTCCGTCAGGTTGCAATTATTTAAATTTATCGACTGCACTTCAGGCTGTGATGATAGGAATGGTTTTATGTTAACACCTGTATTGGCTGCTTTTAAGCCATGGTCTCCAAAACCACGGGTCACCCCTATAGTGCCCATTACACGGCTCTAAACAAAAATTTCACATTAAATTTCTATACAAAGTATAACTAAAATATATAATGAGGGCAGTTACCCTTTTGCCATGTCCAGAGATAAGAGGTAATTTTAAATCAGAATGATTCAATATTTTGTACGCCCAGCCTGTCATATAAGGTTCCCTATATAAAATCGTGGAACCTAATTCCTTCTGTAAAGGTCGTTTTCGAAACTCCAATGGTGTGAAATGTCCTTTTAATAATTCATTACTTCTTAAGAATCCTAATGCTCTAACACGATTTGATTCTGAATCAGGAGTATGGTCTCTTGTTAATGCACGCTGACTTTCTCCCAATACAAGTACAGCTCTGTTCATTAGATTTTTGTTGAAAAATACTTTGATTGCTAGTATTTGTATTATGTATCTAAGAATTAGAATTTCTACCTTGAATCGCCAGCACCTGCAGCATATAATCTACCATTAAGGAATAAAATAGTGATAGCTGTGCAACCACCACCTCCACCTTGGGCTTGAGCTTCTACTGTTTGATCCATTTGTCTATATGCTAGTTCAACAGCACCAATGACTAAATCTCTTCCTTTTATGAGTTCATCTTCATCTTCATTTAGTAACATATTGCCAGGTATTGCCATTAACCTTTCCTATTAAGAATAATAAATATTGTGAAACATTATTCATAAAATCAATATACATATATGTGGGAGAGATTACAAATAATTTTTCATTACTCTTACAAGAATTATCCTGTGTAAGTGTAATCTTGCTGTTAATGCAACTTGATAACCAGCATGTCCATCAAACATAGAAAACATAATATAAGGTAATGTTATATTAACATCTGACAATTTAAGATCTCCTCTTGTAGCAGAAGCTTGATCTTCATTCCAAGTGCTTTTCCCAGCATTTATACATTCCGCATAGCCAGCACACCATGGTAATCGACTCAAATCTCTTGGAACTATTATTGGTCTTACTCTATGGTCAGCACTTACCTATTATACATAATGTATTTAATTGCTGCTGTAGATATATCACTGTAATAATTATCGCACTTCAAATTACATACTTGAGTTTCCTCTGTAGTTAGTCCAAGAAAACTAGGTCGACTATATGGTTTATTTTCTATTTCCGTGATAAAGTTTGAATTGATATAATCTGTTAAAGTATCAGTGTCTGAATCATTTGGATATTGTAGGCCAAGCTCACTTGCACCCACAGCATTTAATAATGCTGATTTAAATCTGTTCAGCATTTTTCTTAGTAGGGATAGACACAAAAATGATAACTGCAATAAATCAACTAAACAATTCGATTGTAACACATATCTTAATAGAAAAATAACACTTTTGGTAACAGCATTTTAATTACGCTTTATTTCACAGCAACGTATAAGTATGCATGTATATTTATGATAACAGTAATATCAAGAAACTACAGAATTCAAGCTATGGTTTGGTTATCTGTCATCTGTCAGTTAGAAAGCACAAAATTAATTTCGCACTAGAAAAGATATTCGTAGAATTCTGATAGCACTCCAATCAGAAGTACAATCATTACACACTAGATTGTTCATGAATCAGGAATTCCTTTAATTGGTAACATTTTGTTGACAAATCAATTGTCAACAAAGAAATAGGTTATACCACAGACGAGATATAGAATAGACCTAACATCTTATGGGACTTCGTGTTACAAGTTCTGAAATACCGATCGTGCAAAAAATCAGAGATTTTCTGCTGTACCACAGACGAGATATAAGAATAGACCTAACATCTTATGGGATTTGGTGTTCCACGAAAATCACGCTGATTCGAGCGCACTCTACATATAAGTTTCCGACTGTAGAAACGTAACTGTACTGCATATAGCGATACATACATTCATTATTGCCCCGGTTTCGCTGGCAAGGAAAAATGTTCTGCTTTTCTCGCCCGGCGTGAACAGCAGTTTGATACATATGTATACAATGTTGGCCCGGTATAAATGTATATATGCTATTATATTAATCTAACTATTACGAATACAAAAAATGTTTTATATAAAAGTTGTTTTATTTAATGGAGCAAACTTAATAGAATGTTTGCATTTTTTTATTGTTATTTATAGAGATTTTAATTTACTATCGGCAGTAGTTAGTTTCTGTAGTAACCTGTTGAACCAGACAACTATAATTAGTATAGGATTGTACAATATTTATGCAGTTATATTTAAGAGAATTCGATGAAATGAAGCTTATATCACCTGACGTATGTTTATTGGAATATACATATATACATATAAATTATAATGATATAAAAGTTTGAAATACAGTATGATGCGCTACGGTGCAATATGTCTATTCGATTCAATTGCTCCCTTGCGACTACAACATCATGCTATCTGCGTTCGGCGCAGTGCGCTAATACGCAAACCAACGAAATATCACTTGAAAAAGTTTTAAAGTTCCATTTTTATTCATACTTCCAGCAGCATTCACATTCCAATCAAAGAATTTACAGAATAAGGAAAAGGAATCGAAAGTAATTTTCAGTAGTTCCATACATCTTTATTTCGAATAATTTTCTAAAACATTCAAAGTACTAGACATTTTTACACTTTGAATCTCATATCGATTTCTAAAATAATCCTAGTT